GTTCAGCGTGGGGCGTATACGCCCCACGCGGCAGGGAACGTGTTAATAAGAAGGAATAACGTTATATAAACTATAGCATCTTCTTGATAGATCTATATCGATTTACTGCTCCTAATTTGTAAAGATACCGCAAGTGTGAATGAAATTACTCGTATGATAGATAAAGCAAATGGAAAGTAAATGGGAACAATGTCTTACCTGTGAGTTATATATTTCATGCTTACGTCCTCTCCACCAAGCATGTAAGCGTCCAAGATGTGCAACGCACGCGACTTGGTGAAATATCTCTCCGTCCATTTCGACTCGTACACCAGCTCAGCGTATACGAGAGTGTTAGGCGGCAATTCCAATTTCACATCCCCAATGGATTCCCATTTCCCCTTCATGTAACGATATACTCTTCTCCTGCCCAGGCCTAGATAAAACGTTGCTACCTTGTCTTCGTCAACGTATTGTCCGGAACTACAGGGTACCCAGTACCAATCGTACGGCTGATTGCATAATGTGGTATTTACTATTTCCTTTGTCAATTTCTGAGCATCGCGCCCAATGAAATCAACGGCATTATTCAATATTTCCCGCACCTGAAACCAAAATAATGTATTAAGAAATGTAATAAGTTGTATCTCAGTTGAATTTGTAAAAACCAGCTGAGATTTCTCTGTAAGATTGCCTAATAATATAGTCTGAATGTTTGAGGAACATGTAAATATTACCTAAAGTGAGTAACCGCAATATCTATTTGCCAATTGCTTTCTTATTAACACATTGACAGTCGGCCACGCGAAAACGCGAGTTTCTGAGTTTGTCGCTTGAGCGCCGGCCGCGCGAAAACGCGGGTTTCTGAGTCTGTCGCTTGAGTGCCAGCCCCGCGAAAGCGCGGATTTCTGAGTCTGTCGCTTGAGTAGCTGCGACAGTAAAAAGAAGCGAGAGTAACTTTATGTGTGCTGAATGCTTAATACCTTTACATCTTGGACAATGTTTCGAGAAATACCACACTTGCCTTAAATATTAAAACTTTTGTTTTCTGTTTATGTTATATATATGTAATAATCCACCATGAAATGAGAAACTGTATTTTTTTTTATAATTATAAATTAGAAATTTCAATTTTGTTTATATTTTTAATTACCGTTAAATTGTATGTGACGAATATGCAAATAAAATGTACTATTTTACGAAAATATATAATGTTTTAAATATTTTTTTTGACTATTCAGTGATCAGAAACAAGCGAATAAGGCCGGTGCTCAGACTTTAAATGTCTCTTAGATCGCCGGCTGTCAATGTGTTAATACTCTTAGACGGCAAGGCCCTAGTGTGATAACAAACGCATTTATCTATCTATTAACTTACCTTATCTTGCGGTTTGACGTTATATGGTCTTACACGACTTTTGTCGGGTAAATCCCAATGCTGCAAACACAATTTTCGCATCTCCGCCTGCTTCGATTCGATCAACGATGTGTCTTCGCAAAAAGCTGCGATTTTCAAGAGATTCATTATTTGCCTTCTACCCAGGGTGTCGTTAGACTCTCTCAAATACTTCATGAACTCCTCGTCCGCCTCCAGTTCGCTAAGAGGTACTAACTGAATCACATCATTGTCTTCCTCATCCTGTGAGATATTTGATATCGTCTCGTTGACAGCAAACAGATAATTCATTATATCTTCCGTATCTTCTTTTTTACCCTTACATATCAGGTAGCGTTCGGAATTGGCTGGTCTAGAAGTGTTGGGCTTGAAAATACAGACACTTGCGAAACATCTGTACATCAAATAAACCAGTCCGACGCTGAACGGCGTAAAAAGGTCAAACAACTTGGTTACGAAGTGACCACCTGGTCTCACTATCATCAGCGCTATCAAACATTGACACAGGTAAAGCCGCTTCGACAGGATCTCCTGTATATTTTCTTGGCCTTCCACAGAGAAACCACCATCTGACATCATGAAGTGTACTCCCTTGTCATACGTATGCTTCATGATCATATCTCTAAATTCTATCTGATGGCCCGAATCATACACATCGCCGTTTTCCTTCGAACCATAAAAAGGATGGAAAGTCTCGCATGGTCCGGCAAAAAACTCGTCCAATTTGAAGTCATTTTCATTCTTCAGAGTGAACCCAAATCCTTTAGCATGCCATTTCTTTCTCGACAAGACGTATTCGCTGAAACCACCAGGGCCAGCGCATACGTCCGCAAAGTACAGTGTCTCGTCATCCATTATCCCATCAGTGAACATAAAGTTGCACGCTTTATTTATGTTCGCCATCTTAACTGCTGCGCGATTCAAGAAGCCTGCGGTACGGATGGTCTCGTAGGGATTTGAACGAGTCCTTGCTTTCCGCATTTCAACTTTATTCAAACCATCAAACATGGTTTTCGAACTGATGAGTTGTGCCATCATTTCTGCATCGCAGAATCTGGTTTCGTCATCTATGATTTCCTTTTTAGGTCCCAATGCCATCCAATTCTGCACGTCATTCTTCAATAATCTAAACGGATGCCTATTCCGTAACCAGTCTATATCTTCGACAACTTTTATTACTTCCTCTTCAGGATTCCATTTAAGGCTCGCTTCTTGGAGTTTAGGTGCAGCATGCCCAAATCCTCTGCGACCACGTTGCATAAATAATTCTACCGGCTCCACACGACCCTGGCTGTGTTTCCCAAGACCTCTTCCTGGATGATATCCCATTTTTTCCATCATCCGCTGAGTCTTCCCGATGTAGGATACATCGTTGGTCTTGCTTTCATTTTCATTGTCCAATTTCTGTCGTTTGCATGCACTTTCGTCAGTACTGCTGGCGTCTACTTGATTGCCAGTTAATGGATTATTAGAGTACTGATCACCAACATCATCGTCGGAAGAAGATGTACGATCTTCATATACTTCTGTCTTGCGCTTGTTATTTTGGTACACTGGGCCAAAAGTGTCCTTACTATTCATTGCTCTAACAAGCAACGGATCTCTGTGCATTTCTTCAAATTTAAATATCTCAGGAGTCAAACTGCTTTCTTCCGCGTCTGAACTTGAAGATACTGTAATAGTAAATTATATTGGTTATATTTAAATTTAGATGTATTTAGGGAGAATATTATTAAAGAATATTCGAATTTTTTAAAATAGAATATATATGAAGAAGTAGAGATATTAAAATTAGAATAAAAAAGAAATATATATTGAATATATTAGAATCAGAGGTAATTGAATATTATTTGGAAGTATTAGATTTACTTAGAATTATATTTAAATAGATATAAAAAATATAAAAAGAATATAAAAAGAAAAGAAAGAATTGAAGAAAAAAATACTTACTTTCTTCTATCTTATTCTCCATTTTACTTTCATTAATTTGATATAAACATGCCTCCATTTGATTTGTAAGATCAGAATGGAACTCCCTAAAAATTCAGAAAGATAATTGTTAAAAAAGAAACTAATAATGAAATAATAATAAATATGAAAAAGAAGAGAGCCGCTTTACTGATATTAATAAAATATAGCAATAATTTACAATACGAAAAAAAATTAATCTTGAAATGAATATATGATTTTCATATTAAAAATGTATATAAAAAATAATTGGTTATTCTAATTTGTTTGTATCACGAGAACTCGGGATTCCATTTGAGACTCGCTTCTTGGACGAAAAAGGAGACAGAAAAGTTATACGCAAATAAGTAAAAGTCCCCTTTTGTATCCATTGTAGCAGGTATGTTTTTTTATGTATTTTCTTCGCAAACATACCTACTGCTACAATGGATACAAAAGGGGACTTTTATTTTTTTGTGTATAACTTTTCTGTCTCATTTTGTCCCGCAAGAGTTTCCTTGACATTCAATATCTTATTTCAAAAGATAATTTTTTATGTATTTTCTTCGCAAACATCCCTACTGCTACAATGGATACAAAAGGGGACTTTTACTTTTTTTTTGTATAACTTTTCTGTCTCATTTTGTCCCGCAAAAGTTTCCTTGACATTCAATATCTTATTTCAAAAGATAATTTTTTATGTATTTTCTTCGCAAACATCCCTACTGCTACAATGGATACAAAAGGGGGCTTTTACTTTTTTGTGTATAACTTTTAAATTATAAGAGATAGATAAAAATGTTTCAAAGGAGTATGTGTGAAGCTAGCGTCTCAACTCATAGAAACTCATGGACTATTGAGAGTTCTGAGTTTATTTTCATTAGTTCTATAGTTTGTGGTAGTTTAAACAAATAGTTCTGGTCGTGCGAGTCAATTCGGACAAACATCCACTTCATGCTATGTCTCATTTTGTCCCGCAAGAGTTTCCTTGACATTCAATATCTTATTTCAAAAGATTTACAGTTTTACAAAAGTTCTAGAAAGAATTCTACAAACATAATTTTTTTGCTATTTAAATAATTTTCATCTTCTGAAGAAGGTACCTTTGCAAGTACATAGGCAAGGCACTGATTGACTTTCGAGAATCTTGACATTATAAAATATTTCTTGTATAGTTCTGAATATATTAATTCAAGTAGTAAAATTCAAGTAGTAAAATTAAAAAAAAAATTTTATAGGATGCTTTGCAGAACTCATTGGTGAAAAGTATTTCAGCTATTAACACTTTAATAGCCGCACGTCTATGCAGTCAAACGTCGCCAGGGGCCGGCAATATTTTTGAAGAATTAATTAAAAAAAAAAAACTTTATTAAAATTGGTTGTTTACATTCATAAAATCATTCGTTTACATTCATAAATCATCACACAGAGAGTGTGGTACTGGCCAATAATCTTCGGCGGTAGCATCACACCACATGTTGTGTGAACGGACAATAACAGTTGTCCGTTATTGTCCGTTATTGTCTGTTGTCGTCTGTTATTGTCCGTTGTCGTCCGTTGTCCGGCTATCACACCACATATTGTGTGAGCGGCCATTAAAGTGTTAAGCACCTTTGTTCATTCCAGAGT